TTTTTTCTTTCTCCAAAATCAACCGTAATCCATTTCCCAAAAATACATTAGTTAAACTATTGATTAATAATTTTTTTCTTACATTTTTAGGTTGCTGATGGAAGTAGTGCAAGTGAGGCCAGCAGGGGGCGCTTAACCTGTGGTCTGTGTGAGTCCTAATGCCCCAGTAAAAGTGAAGGGGACGCTATACTGTCAGTGAGCACCGTCTTTCGGATGAGACGTTAAACCGAGGTCCTGACTGTCTGTGGTCCTTAAAATAATATCACATGGCACATCTTGTAAAGAGTAGGGGTGTATTCCTTGTGTCTTGTGTTTTAACATTGTGCAAATCTAACTTAGTATTCATACCATTTGCTCTACCATAACGGTTTCACATTCCATTAGTTAGATTCATATGACAAATTAATAAAAAAAGGCTACATGCTACATTGTTAGTTTTTTCTTTTACAATTTTTCACGAACAGTAAACTTTATAAAGTGTGTAATATATGACTCCTACAACTACATATAATGTAGAAATCACTGTGAGATGGAGGCAATTTAATATTGAGATTATTTCACAATAATTGTTCTTTTATTATTATTATTATTATTATTATTACTATTTTTATATTTTTTTATTACTATTTTTATTATTGTTTACCGTAATGAATTCACACTCCATTATGCCGAGTTCAGACTGCATGATTTTAGACCCGATTTTGACTAGCCAATAGATTTTGAGAAATCCGAAATCACAGGCAAATTGGTGCCCTTTCACGTGAGTGTCAATCACACAATGTGAACTATCAAGAAGAGAATCACCAATGAGTTACCAATACCCGTGAGATATTTGGCATACTAAATATCTGAAGCTGTCAGCGACATGAAAATAACATCAGCGAATACCTACAGCCAATGAGAGAACAGCATTCACTAATGTGGGTACCTGCAGGTCAGCGGGAGGTTGGGGAAGAAGTTATAAAAGGGCTCATTTTCTGTTTATTTAGACCCAATAATTGTAGGAAAAACTAGTGGAAATTTGGCAGGAGCAGCATCACAAGAGAAAAAAAGTTGAGGAGAAATTGCCAATTCCCTTCAAACCCAGGTGAGCAAATATGTACATTTTCTTCCCCATTATAGGCTTGTTTCTCATAACAAAATATATACAACGTGTGTTTGGTTGTGAGAGTAGTTTAGACAAAGTTGTCAGCGATTCTTCCTATTGTAAAGTCATTCAGTGTGAAACCCCATCGCTGAGCTATCTTCAGTGTAAACAAAGCAGCGACAAAACACTAGCCCAGATAGTCATGCAGACAAAACACCCATGACACGACTACTTTGAAAATCATGCAGTTTGAACTCAGCATTAGATAATGTTAGATTAATTTGACAAACTAAGTATTACCAATGCTTGTATAAAATTTATTAATAACTAGGGATGTAACGGTTTTGTAAATACCGTCATACCGCAATATTAAATTTTTTCGATATTACCGAAGTCGCATGACTCGGTAAAACTATAGGTCTTCTGAGAAAATTTGCTCAGGCGAATGAAGCGAACGGGAGCTAGCTGAAACTTCATTTCCCATCAGCCCCGGCGTGGCCATAATCCTTTGCGGTCTGTTGTCGCTACAGATCCAGTAATGCGGAAATGGAGTGTGCTGCTAGTAGCGGAGATGAAAAAAAGATGGAAATGATCGAACCTAAAGCGGGTGTTGTCGCCGCGCGCGTGCTGAATAGCGGTGCTGTCGCGCGCGTTCTGATCAGCTGTGTTGTGGCGCGCGTATTGTAAAGCGCCGAGGGGGGGTTGAGCGCGCATACTCGAGAGGTGTTGTCGCGCGCCTACTGAAGGGCTGGACTGGACGGAGGTTGTGTCGCGTCGCGGGGGCACTTTTGATCGTTTTGGAAGGGCATTTTCTATCCAAGACTAAAAAGGGCATGTGCACTGCACAGGTTGAGCCCTATGTGTGCACGTGCCTGCAAATTGGGGAATACGACTAATAACAGTCATGGGGACTGCAGAAACACAGCACACTGTTCAGATTGATGCAGACATTGACTTGTACCGCAAAGAGATCTCTATCTCACTCATGGTTTGTCTTCTCAAGTGGGGGAAAGACAATGCACAACGTTACCCACTGCTGTCAACATGGACCAAGTCATATCTCTCTTGTCCCAGAAACCTCAGTCCCAAATGAGAGGGTTTTTTCTGTTGCAGGGGACATTGTAAATACCCAGAGATCCCAGCTTTTACCAGATTATAGTTATATGATAATTTTCCTTTAAACCCATCTCTATCTAAGTGAGTGATTAAATGTTAAATGTGATGAGTTTTCAACAATACTAAATTGAAACTTTATTTTTTTACATGGTTTAATAATTTTTTGTTATTAAAATTGAAGTTCCTGTTTCAAAGCTAACAGATAGATGGCTAATTTGTATGTCATTGACACTTTTGGCACTTTTTTGGAGTATTTTCAAAAGTTTTTTTTTCCTGTAAATGATTCAATAAATACCGTACCGTGACATTCATACCGAGGTATTACCGTACCGTGAAATTCTGATACCGTTACATCCCTATTAATAACAGTTGCTAATGCATTATATAAATGAAAATTTATGACAAAGAGAACTAACAATCAGTGGCTTTATTTTCATTAACTGATGCTAACAAAGATGAATAAATACTGTAATATACACAATGTTCATAATGAACACATTAAATAACCACATTAACTAATACAACCTTATAGTAAAGTGCTAATGCCATTCAGGATATTGCATTCAAGAGATACAGACCACTTTTAACATTATTTTAATGCTATTACTTTTTTTTTTGCAAAGAATGTGTCGACTCTCCCTTTAAAAAAAACAGACATGGATGCAAGACAAAGTGAAGAATATAGAGAGCAAGTTAGAGAGGGACGAATCACAGACAGACACAAGACAATGCCAAGTGTGCTTGTAATTTTCAGCAATAGTTCAGTGTGTCTGAATTCGGTTATCATCCAGACATCATGTGATTCATACATACTCCAGCACTTGTTATATAATGGGCCGACTTGCGCACGGTCTAGACCTTGCGACAGAACGGTGTGTTTATGTCTGTGTTTTCTGAATGAGGGGCACTTATCCAATTGAAATGTCAAATTGAGCCAAATTGGGCTCGCCAGTAACACAATCCAAGGCCAAACGCTGCAGGCCACATTCATTGATGAGTCTGTGACTGGGCAAAGGCCAGAACGTCTCAATGAACGTGTCATACATGCGGCTGTGCTAAACACGCTCACTGTAATTGACAGTGTTTAGTGGAGACAAACCAAAATGAAAATTGAGGGTCGAAAAGGAAGCACTTTGCTGAATACTGAAACCAAAAATACTTTGGCTAAAAATATTTATAAATTGTTTTATAATTGTTTGACTTTTTATTTATTTATTTAACTCTATAATTTAAATGATATTAATAAAAAAACAAGATTAGTGAACAAGGTGTCATATTACCAGCGTTGCCATGGCAGCATAGTAGCATATTGCAAGCAGTAGGAACAAGTACACTACATAGAAACAAAGAGCTTAGAATGACCAAGAGGCAACACTCAGTAGAACGTTCCATTGCAACAGCAGCGCCCAGTAACAGCCCCAGATACCGCCATTTTGGAGTGAAAGGGATCAACTTTCCATTGAATCTTCTTGCTGTCGCGATGGCAAGCAGCTACTTTGTTTTTTATTTTATTCATTTATTTAAAAAGCGCAATAAAGCTGAGATACAACCTGAAAGACGACAATACAACACTCACTATCACAATCATCAGCACTTTTAATAGTTTATTTTACAGACTTATAATATGCTGTAGTTCTATTGGAGTTTTCATTCAAAAATGGCCGCCGCGCCATCTAGTGGCTGTTTCCTAAATTGCACTAGAGTGTCACCTCTTGGTGATTCTATGCTCTTTGATAGAAATGTACTGCTGGTGCATTATTTGAATGGGCTTTGATTTTTCAGTGCATAGATAGCTTTATGGGTGCAGGAATGGATTATCCAGAGTCAAATATTCAGTTATTTTAAACTTTGACCGCAGTGCGCACAAGCTAATTTTTCGCTTTGGTTGGTAAAACAGAAACAAACCACTCTTGTGTGACACAAGCCATTGAACAGGATTCTTACACTTTTTTCAAAGTCAAATTTAAGCCCCTTTCAGGCACTTTTCAGGTGAATTTTCAAACTTTTCCACAACTTCATCACATTATACATGATGCTAAATGTTTCATTGTATAGTAGTATACTATAGTATTTTAATTAATCATTTTGATAGCATAATTGTCCCAACACTGAATTACTGTCATTTATTCTCTTAAATGCTGCTTACTTGCATCCTAAATACGTCTTCTTCATCTTAAATGTATATGTATTTTAATTTCAAAGAGTGCAGATAAATAAGTAACACTTTAGGTCACAATTCATCCTGTGAACTACTGGCTTATTAATAAGATATTAACTGTTCATTAGAAGTTATAAAGTATGGTCCTATTCTGTATCCTTAATCCTACCCAAAACCTAAACCCAACTACTACCTTAACTAACTATTAATAAAGTGCTAATTAGCAGTAGTGTTAGTTAATGGTTTGTTAGTACTGTGAAATATGGCAAGATGTCAAATCCGGTTCCTGGAGGGCCGCAGCTCTGCACAGTTTAGTTCCAACCTTGCTCCAACACACAAACCTGTAGGTTTTAAACAAGTCTGAAGAATTCAATTAGATCGATCAGGTGTGTTTAATTAGGGTTGAAACTAAACTGGGCAGAGCTGCGGCACTCCAGGAACTGGAACTGACACCTGTGACTCAAACTAACAATGTAAAAAAACAGGCAGATCATGGTACAAGCACACACACAGACTCCAGAGTTTTCATTTTATGTAAAAGCAAAAGAGGCAATCATTTTTGGCAGTCAAAATTCAGTGCATTTCTAGTGATTTGTGTGTGTTTGTCGATGATAATATGTAGAAATGTGAAGGTCATACCTTTAAAACACTGAACATCAGAGGTGAGAGCAGAGCTGAGATCCTCAGAGCTAACCTGCAACATCCCGGCCACTGCAGGTGAGAAGAAATAAAGTAATTATAAAAACAATCACATAAATTTGTAGGATTACAAAGGGATATAAAGCCAACTTCTGATTAGATTAGCCCTGTTACAAACAGTGATGTGTGAAACTAGGCTTTCTCCCTAATAGTCAGTTATATACTGGTCAAGCAGAAGAAGCGTGAATGATTGCATTTTTCAACACAGGCAAATCGCAAATATAAGCTTCAGCCTACATTTTTGCAAAACTAGAAAATTATACTTAAACACAGTTGAAGTCAGAATTATCAGTTTTTTCCTTTTCATATTATTGATACATACTTTTATCAAATAAAGGATTATTTCCATGCAGTTGTTTGCACCACATCAAATAAGTACCACAAAGCAACATAACAGTGTTTATGATAATGCCCAGATCTTTTTTTAGTGTGGTCAGTTTGCTGAAATTGCTCACTTTTTATGTTGTTGTATTTGTGGGTTCAGTATTCAGGTTTCAGTACATTAAAGCAATCCCACAAAAGAGATAAGAGCGATGAAAAATCTATATAAAACAACACGGAACACTTTTCTCTTTTGTTTGCTTTTGAAAACACTAATGGTTAGGCTTAGGAAATGGTTTAGGTCATTGATTCACTGGTCTAGGTTATCAGACAAGTTCAAGGAAACAAGACAGACATGCATCTGAAATGTACAACAAAATGTACACACAAATGTACGAAGCGCCCTCTAGTGGATCTGTCATCTGAAATGTGCAACGAAAAATAGTCAGAGAAACATATTTTACGCTTTGCAAAATGTAGGCCGATGCACTTTTATTTCCAACGAACCTGGGTTGAAATTTCAATAACTTATCTTATGCAAACCAGCAGATCTTGGACATTATTTTTTCACCAAATCTGATGGTCATCAACTCTTTAGATACAAACAAATATTTTTAAATTATTATTATTTTTTTGTTTCATATCTTCTCCAAAACAATAAAAATAAATAAATACATGTTTAGACCATGTAAAGGGTGAGTAAATTATTATGATATTCATTCTTAAAATGAACCTCTTCTTTAAGCTTTTTGTAAATAAAATGGTTACTTTGTGAGATTATCGTTTTTTTATTTTTTTTAACAATTATTTGCGAACAGCAATCTTTATAAAGTGTATATATATGACAGAAATTGCCTCCTACAACTATATATATACTGTAGAAATTACTTTGAAATGGACACAATGCATTTAATATTAAGATAATATCTCAATATCTCTGTTTGATATTTTGTCCATATTGTGATGATAGTATACTTATTTTAAACAATTAAAATACCAACAATAACTATTTTTGGTGATCCACAAATAATCATATGGAATGAATATAACTGGATCATGTGACAATGACGACTTAAGTGATGATGCAGAAAACTTAGCTTTGAATAAATATAATCTTAAAATGTATCCATTTAAAAATCACTCCTAAAATATAATATTTCCAAATATTGCTTGATTTTCTTATTTTTTTTATCAAATGCAGCCTTGATGATAATATTAATATGTATAAATACCAAAAATTTCTACTAATAAATACACATATTAACTTAACCATAGCTAATATAGAAATAGTGCACTACAAAAGCTCGCAATATGAATGGGCACACATTACCAAATTAACCACGTCTTTGAATGTTGCTCATTCAATCAGATTTCAGAGTCAAAATCACATGCTAAAACTCGTTTACAAAATGACAAATGACAGTACATATTGTATAATTTACTATCTATCTATCTATCTATCTATCTATCTATCTATC